AACTCTGTCTAAATGTCACAATTTGGTACAGAGAACCTTCTTTTATTTCTCATGCTGCCAACCATGGAGTAAGAAGACCTATCGCCTACCACAGGAGACAATTTCGAGTACAAAACTATACCTGTATAAGGTACATCCTACCATCATTCTACCGTACACAGTGATTAAGAGATCGTCTTCCTTAGATATTACATAACTGCTCCTATATCAGATTTCCAGGCTGCCATTTGCATAAAGGATCATTTATAGGGTGGTATATACTCTCCATAAAATCTGAGAACCTACAGTATCATCTCATATCGTTTGTTCGTTAGAACCGTCTTGCGCCCATCTCGAACGATGTTCCAGCAGTGTGCATTCCTTATGATGGTGCTCCTGAGTACATCAAATAACGCAGAACTCCTCCAACACCAGGGCGCAGTCTGATGCTCACCATCTTTGCAAGCTACTCCATATTATTTTTACTGCTTCAATGCACCACTGCAGTTCATCATTGTGGTACCAGTAAAGAAAAAACTTCAATAAATGACATTTATCTTTTTGAATCACTTGGTTGGATTGGGTAATCAGCGGTTTTCAAAGTCTTTAAAACAATCACGTGCAGATTTTCTAGCCTCTTCATTTCTTTCTCATTTGATTTTCCCATTTCCCTTTGAATATGTTTTGCAGATAAAGTTGCTAGAAACTCATCCGATCGTTTATTCTCATTCAATAGGTCAATCGTTCATTTTCGAAGGTGGCAATTTTCCGGTTTCGCATAGATGAGAAATTTCAGGCGTTTCCTTCAGTAGTTATTTGCCTTCCGTCAACTAGTGTTCACTGGTTTTTATTCCAAGGCGCAGCCGCGTTAGGTTCAGCATGTAACTTATAACAGCAGAATATTTCGTTCACAGTTGGTAGCCGTGCTGAAGTACAATAAATGACGTAAATAATCATTTCCTAATAAATAACCTAAAGAACTGGTTTATATCCACTGCATTGCAACTTTAGTTAGTTATCCGAGGAACCAGCCAGAAGGTCGGACGGAACAACTTCATCGCAGTTGACAATATTCAATACAAGGCTGATGTATGTGGATCGAACCCGATGTCTGGTGATTACAACATGGTGTGCCAAGCCATAACATGCAACTTTCGAAGTAAAGTTCAATGCGTTAATCGATAGAATGTTACAGATGACTGTGCCTAAATTTAGCGGGGACCAGCTGCAACTGGATTTTGAACACCGGCGGTATGAGTGGCTCCCAATTCGCCCTCTCCAACCGCCCCATAGGAGTCGCCAATAACGTCCTCGTTTCTCCGAGCGGTAAGCACATTCAGACAATTGCACACGTTGTCGCAATAGTTGTTTGCAGTCCTCGGTGAGTACTTTTTGGGTACCGTAATCCGAGATCCGAATCAACCGGTAGCCGTTCTGCAGTCAGCTGACTTCAAACTGCAAAAGCCGTTAGTGATGATGCTCGCCCTGAAACGCAGCACCTGGGGGTCAGAAGTGTATGTGTGCTTCGACGAATTTTTTCCGACTTTAGACGACTGCAAATTACTGGCTGGACCGTCGCTTTCTGTGGAGGAGGCAACCAACGTCAAGCGAATCTATACGGCTGTTCCGGCCGGAACCGAAAAGGTATAAACGAACGGCCTTGAAGTACGGACGTTGTTTCCAGTTCTACTGTATTTTCGTCAGGTATTCATCGTCGCCAAACACCCCTCAATTGGTGTATCCGGGCCAGCTGCATTCGGAATCGAAGATATCGAGCTTGTAGATGCAAATCGTCGTTCATTGTGCCTGTAGTGCCAGGTTTAATCACCTACTATTTGCTGCATGATGACATTTCGATTGTTTGGTTGTGTGACGATTTTTGGCGATTCTTTCAGAACAACAAACAGGCATCAGGTGTATCGGAAGCACTTATCGAAACATGCATGGAAAGGGCAATAATAAATGAATGGCATCGCTCAATCAAAGGAATAGCGATATCATTGTACATCTCTGAGCAACTAAACTTTGCCGGACTTTCAGGCACTTGATAAGGAAAGAGCGAACGGTGACGATTTTCTCTCCACTTCCCACTCTGTTTCATCAAAAACATTGTTTAAATCTTCCATTGAGCATATGCAATGCGGAAGCCAAACGACCAGTATGAATATGTCAACTCATACTCTCAATCAGTTGACATATTCACTCAGAATCGATCTGGAAAATTTGCAGAACAGACGAAACCTGGTTCTTTGCACCTGTGCGCTGCATGTACACCATTCAAACAAATATTGAACGCTTCAAAGCAAAACTTTTCCATAATCATTCATACCCATAAGGCTGACTACTCATGAATTGAAACAAATGGAGGATCGTAGAATCTTCTGCAGAAGTCGGCTTACTCCCTTGTGTTGTTTTAGTCCAGCGTTGGCTCAGTGCGTGCGCAGATTGTTCTCTCAGGACGTTTATAGAAGTGGATAAGAAGTCACATGGAAAAGAAGTTTCTGATGTCTTCTCGATCGTCTTATTTCAGCAAATGCACGGGCATCCGCTTCTTCTACAATTTTACGATTTAGTCGACAATGACGTACCTTCAGTTGTGGGTACTGAGCGGAGTTGGACGTAAGACCTCTGTTCGAATGCAATCTAACTCAACAGCATGTTGCGGCATCACTTAGCGAAATGCCGCTAAGTACCACTTCGTCGCATAGAAAGTGTGCTGAGGAATTCACAAAGATTCAATGATCGGAAACTATTTTAAGCGAGCCAAAAAGTTCACTGAAATTTTTTGCAAATCTCTTCCACCTGTCTGCGATTATTTGCTTTGTGTCAGCTCTCGCTAAGCAACGCACCGCGAATTACTTGCCGTAGCTCAGATTTTTTCCGTATGAACGTTTCTTTTCGATGAGATGTATGTCATGATCCTTCGTCATCCTCCTACGCCTACGCAGTATCATGGCTGATGCTCAGTGTCAATATCTGTCTTTCCTCCCATTCCCATTTTTTTCTGTAGATGTTCGAGAAAATGTTGAATGAAGCGACGTCTGACTTGCGACTGTTTAACAACAATGGCAGCGGTTCCAGAGCAGTTAGCTTCCACAAACGTCTGTCGCGGTCTTGTCTCGGTCAGGTCGGCGTTGTTGCATCGCTTGGCGACAGTCATTCAAACAAGTTGGTTGAAACGATGGTTTAATAGTGCACATCAGCGATGATTTCGACTCATAATAAGAATTACATGGCAGTAGCAGATAGGGATTAATTATAGTCTCTTTCGGGCACGAACGAACTTGACAGATGAGGAGATTAAGAAAAGGCTGTCGACTGCTGATCGATGGAAAACAAAGTATATCAGATATTTTATTCTTAGAATGCATTTGCGTTCTGCATTTGCTTGCCATCTGTTAATAATTGCGCTTCGTATTCGTTGACGCTACTCATCCATTGAGTCTACTTAGCGAGGTCATAATTCAGCCATGTGTCAGATTTATAATGGTCAGGAGTCTTCAATCCGGCTGCTCTGCAATCTAAGCTCCATTAACATGATGTGAAGATAACTCCACAACAACTATTCAGCTTTTTTCCAATAAAGAGGATCTTGAGAGAAAATCTTCTTTAATTTAGCCTGCAAATCAATTATGGATCACTAACAAAATTTCCAAGCGATTCTTTATTTCCTAACAAGGCAAGTGACAATCGACTGACTTTTCAAGTTTCTTTCTTCCTGCTAATTTCGTTTTTGTTCGGTGCATCGTCCATGCTTCAAAAACTTCTTTTTCCTGCATGCTGGCTTCCGCACGAACAATGCATCTTACCTCCAACTTAGTGTGTTTGGGGTAGCCCTTAGAAGTTTGTGACCATAGCCCTAACAGTTTAGCATAACCGTAACTTTCACTGGCATGACTACACTAAAATAGCGCGTTGCTCCTGCTGTTGGCAAGTCAGCGACTTGTCACCCGATTCTAAGCTCGCTGCCCTAAAACAAACGAAGAGTAGATAGATTTCTTGCCCAAAGCAGTTCAAGGTTAAGACGAATGTTGCCATTATACGGAGTCGACCCCGGCACATCTATCGTTTGAGGCCAAATGAACAGTCAGAGTACTACCGGACGTAATGATGAGCCCATCTGAATGACGAGATTATGGTAGAAATTTTTTGTTAGTAGTCGACACCGCATCTGATACGTTCTGATACAGTCTGTTATAAGAGATGAATAGCTTAATAACAAATCTACGAAAACTCAGAAATGTGAAAAAAACTTCTTATTTATGTGAAATAGACAATGGGTGATCAGCATCTGTGTTTCGGCCGGTCTTACACGGGTCTCCTTATGCGTAGTCCGGGTTGAATTCCGCAGTTCGTTCAACGGGCCGCAGTTGTCATGACGCTTGGAGCCAAAGGTGTGCCATTGGCTCAT